CTATGCTTCAATATTCTTAAAATAGTCCATGAGAAGAGAGGCGAAACCCCCTCCCTCCTGATCAGGAAAAATTTCATACGAAAGCGATTGAAGATTGCATCGCTATGAATCATATTGTATAGACGATGACGTGCGCTAAAGAAAATTCTACCACATGGTGTTGAAAATCGTCACGAGCTTCCTCCCTTTACTTCAAAATTCATTCACTCTCAAAAACTAGTTTTTAGAATTTTTATTCTTTTGTTCTTTTGGGTTGTCTAGTGATGAATGACCCTAAACGACAATTGTTTCCCCCGGACCATTGCCACCTAGTCTTGCAATTTCTGAAAGAATGCAGTCTGCCTAGCGAAGCTTCTCCATTGTTTTGCTCTTGGGACAATTGGCCCAAAAATGTCATGCCTAAGGACAATTTTACTTTGCCACCATTCTTTTTTGTTGCCTCATCAGTAAAGAAATCCTGGTCCTTGAGATTGATCTCTTCTTTCCGCATGCTTTTTTTTGCAAAATTCCGCACAAATCGATACTTGCATCAGCATTCCTCGGAGATGGTCGATGTATGCAAAACCAATACAATAGCTCGTTCCTCAGCCTAATAATGAAAGTAGACGGAGCAGGGTTGGTGTGGAGCCTGCTTTGAAGTCTAACGGGAGCGAATTTTGTTCTCTTCAGAGAAGGTATTTCATCCCTATGGGGCCTACTAATTACCCCTGAGCCAGATGAAATGGTTACTCTCCACCCAAGCGCTTTTGCAATTGTGAATGGAAGTTGAATGCGTGGCGCATCCAGTGAGTTGTTAGTGCAAATCGCCCGATTCCAGCTTCCTGCTGATCCGTATTAAAAAATTGAATCGCCTTAACCTACCAGGTACAAGGTGCTGCGGCAGGCAGGGCACATCGTGAGTTGTAGATCCCGAGCGAGGGGGCCGTATTGGATCATAGGAGGTAGGCGGGGAGGGGTCACATTTGCCCACGACAAAATGTTCTCAGTCGTTGACTTTTCGCGGTTTTTCCTCTTTCAAGCGCTGTCTCTACTTGACGGCCATTTTTCGTAGAGAATGGAGGGATTCTTGGAAAACTCAGGAAAGCAGGAAGTTGGTTGGTAAGATGAGGGACGTGGGGCGGGCACTGGGGAGGAGGGAAGAAGTACCAGAGGAGGAAGCTGGTGAGGTTCGTACTTCGCGGGAGGGTCGTATTTTGCACAAACATCCTCAACGGCAGGACGTGCCCTTTGCCAGGTGACTTGACTACCATTCAAACGGTATGAGGCATATTTTCTTCCCGTTGGCCTCTGCGAACACCGCCTAGCCATCAAGTTATTCCATTCTTCCCGAGCCCGCTGAATAGGGTTTGTTCTGAACCCTTTAATACAGCCACCTGTAGCAATTTTGCCCTCGTAGCACTGCAATATTCTCCTATTTTTAAGCCCACATTATGCATCTAGGGACTTAAAACTACAGCCAGGTTTGCACCATGAGCAACGTACCGTACCATTGACAGCTAACAGCATCGGCACTATTCGCATGCAGCTAACCAGTCTGCCCCTCTTTTTTTTTGCCAAATGGCAGTCATTTTTAACGTGCCTAACCTTCCCTCTCAACTATAGTTTCTAATTGCCCCTAATGTTTTTCAACGACCGTAAAAATGCATTGCTTAGGAGGGACGCTGGGTCCGAAAGAGGGACACCAGTAAACCCTCTATAAATGTTTCAATTAAAGCGCACGTTTTTTTTTTCCCGGAGAAACTTGCTGCAATGACTGAAGCGATTGGAGAGGATGTGTCGGGTGAGGGGGGGGGCGGAAGGAATCAGCAATAAGATGTCATGAATATGAACCACAGATGTTTTATGAATGACGTCAAACACTAAGCATTTACAACAATTTGACTTGAATTACTCTGGCCTTACCGGGTTTCTAACTACTCTCCACAAACCCCTTTTAACGCCTCAACAACTTCCACATACTCCTCTCTTCCCTACACTCGCTCCCGCTTATAGTTGGCCAATCTTTGTGAGGAGATCCGCGTGCGGCGATACAGTGAAAGAAGCACCGCACAGTTGGGACCGCCTTATTATGTACCCTGCGACTAAACAATAATGATTTGGTCATGATAATTGCTGCCGCATTTCGAGTCAACTAGCTAATGAAATGTTCTACCAATTTCGCGAAATTCGACTATGTCCTGCCCTACCCGTTCCTTTGGTCCACCGATATCCGTCTCGACCGTTCACTTTGCTTGTCCGACCCCATTTCAGTTTTTTGTCATCGTTGAACTCAGCAGGGTTTAACGACGACATGGGGCCGGCTCGGTCTCATTTTCCCACTCGATTTGCTTCACATCCCGAAGTACCGGTCGAGCCATGCCCCTTCTCTACTGCATTTCATTTCTGCTTTGTTTATTTTCATTTCGACGTTTACATTTCATCACGCAGAGCAGTACACGTCGTAATATTCAAATGCAGGTGCGATTTCAGGTTTGACGCGCGGTTGCTCTCGCGCCTTTCGGGCGCCATGGCGCCTGCGCCACCGCGTGCTCACGATCCGGCCAATGGCACTGCACCACCAGACACCACACCGGCTGCTTCGGAGAAGTTGTCCCGCTGTCAAACGGCAACATGCTCGGCCACTTACGGATCGCCTCTTAGCAGGTCAGTTGTGTGGGTCTCTAAGCTCTTGGAATTTCTTTTATTGAACTTTTTTTCTCTTACGAAATAAGACAGCTCGAGTTCTATTCTTTCTACTGCCGCGAAAAAAAAGGCGCAGTTCGGCGACGGGGGGGGGGTGCATTCTGCACCTTCGCTGCTTCGTTAGTTTCGGTTTAGAAAGCCTCACTCTGCTTGAACCTGTGAATTCTTTGGAAGGTTAAGTCGAGCTGCTTTGCAAATGTTTTTTTTTCTATTTGTTGATCTTACTCATTTCACGAGCGCTATTCCTTTCCCTCGTCCCGTAGTAGAACTGCCTGCCCTTCTAACACGCCCAGTTTTTCCGCTTTGAAGTGAAATTTCGTCAAAAGTAAGTTGAGAAGATGATAGGTAGGACAGGAAAGGGAGTTGCCCTACTCCATGCGCCGTATGCTCATGTAATGCTCACTGGCAACAGGGGTCTTATTAGCGTTTTCGACGTCTTGATTTGCTCTTTTCCTCACCAGTATCCCACTTGCCACGTGATCTGTCTTAGTATCCGATGTGGGAGCATGGGCCCCACGTTCATTTGCTATAATACTTGCGCGTAGGATGCATTTTTGGAGACATTCCTCCCATCAAGACGCAACGCCCATCCTCCTATTGCTGGGTAAACTGCCCATGATTACACCTGTCCCAAAACGAAAGTATTCTACTGGAAGCAAGGCCGTCGTCACGTTCAATTGAAGTACGCAGCCACACCTTCCCCATCTTGCAGATACGAAGCGGTATGGTTATTTGCCCCACAACCTGCAAATGGCGTTTGCGGAGGGGCAGTTGTCAGACGACATAAAAGTTTGTCAGCGATTTTCATGAGCCCGTCTTGATCCGGTTCCAGAATCACGCGAAGAACTTGGAGTGAAGGAGAAGAACTTCTGGAATCTCCTCTAAATCGTCGTTAGTAGCGCTAGTGACGGCGCCAACTGTCACTTATCGTTGATCGCGCGATTAATCGCGGTCAAATGGCGACAGAACTGCTCAGCGAGGCACTTTTTAGTTCGGGCACCACGACGACGACGCCGATGTTGACGGACAGTCAGCGATCGCGCGATGGCGATACTGGCATGAACAAGGTCGCTCCGAAGTTTTTCACTGTACGCCGTTTTGTCTTCTTCTGCGCGTTGACCGACTCGGCTCAGAGCAAGGACGAGTCGGTTCCTTGACCTCATAGATATATCTATGCGAGGCGCCTGCAAAAGCGCAACTAATCGACGAATATTGCTGGAGACGTATCGTAATGGTCAAGGGGGGGGGGAGAGGGGAACACAACTTAGAGCTATCTCTCGCTCTCGCTCTCGCTCGCGCCATGAATGGAGCTAAAATCCTGCATGGAACGACAACAAATCATCCGGTTGCCCTCTGGGGACAAGTCTGCTGAAGCCAGAAGCAAAAGCATTGGAAATGACGGAATCAGACATTGGCCTTCCGGCCAAACCGTACAATAGGCGAAAGCACTCAATCTGCGTCGAATTCAGCTTTCGAGAGTCCCAGTCCTGGTCAGTGAACTTCATATTCTCCCCAGATAACAAATTAACCACCTGCTCAGCAACAAGAACTCAATTTTTCCGTATGATACTGATCTGGAATTTTACTGTGTTTTGATGGGTGATCTTTACAGGCGCAATGAAAAGTAGGGCGTGCCTGTTTGGCTGAGGGGGGTGTGGGACGGCGTCTCGCACATTTGCTTCTTCTGCTGGTTCATGTTTTTAACAGGTCTCACTTGGGTGACACCTGTGTGCTCTTGTTAAATTACGGAGTGGTACATGACGCATACTTCGTCACAGGAATTTACGGAGTCTTCACAGCGGCTCTGATACAAGCCTCCTGTCGAGTTACCACTCTGTCCCCACCAGGCCGACCTGTGCCAAAACCCGTTCCCAAGCTCTTGCGCCAAATGTGTTACAAGTTGATTCTCCCTGGAATCATGCTTCCTATTGTAAGCCAGACTGGATCGGGTTCTCACTAAGGTGGAGCACAGGAAGGAAGGGTTACGCAGAATGAGCAGGATATCCTTGGCATGAGGAGGTATCTGAGTAATCTACCACCTTTACTCATAAAACAGAAGTTATTTTTCCCTGTTACGTTGGACAAGGATTCTGGCCCATTCACCGTTGCATTCCACTTACCCTTCGTTGGGCCTTGAACAGAACAGTTAAGTGAATTCTACTCCATAGAGGTTACGCTCTTTGTCTTGGCTCGTTTTTGGCCATAGGAGATAGAAATCAGAAAAAAATGCCTATTAACCTGACAGCTTGCTTTTCACCGTTCTTTGTCAACCTTCTGCGCTCGAACTTCGTTTCTCAAAGTTCTCAAAATATTTTATCATGAAATCCTCGAAAGTCATTGATTTCAGCGACTCTAGTCAGAATCTCTATGCTTCCGTGGATAGTATTGATGACGGTGGATCGCAAAACATCTATGCTCCTCAGGTACGTAACCCTTCTCCTTTTACAGTTGCAGCGGCCAGACCAAAAGCTAGGCCATTTATTTCGAGACCGCACCTAGTTGGCCCACATTTGTAAAGGAGACAATAGCGATTTTAAGTGACATGTTCGGCCTTGATTGAGTACTTAAGCTACTTCAACTAGTTCTTTTGCCTCGTTCCTGTCAATTAACGGGTTTAACTTCCTACCGATACCAGTAAATCTTATGAAACCAAGTGACACAAGAGACTTCAGATACAGGAGTTAACAGGTTCTCTACAAGGTGGCCTGTGGATGCCTCGCTTAGTATACTTGGTGCCCCCACCGAGCCGAACCAGAGCCATAGTCACCAACAAACCTACGGCTTAGGCGTAGGGGCTTTCACCTCACCTGACATCCCTCATAGGGGCTAAGCTGTCGAAGCGTCGGATGCAGGAGAGATCGTATTTGACCGCTGGAGAGGGTGGGGAGGGGGAAGGAGGGGGCTCGCATGTGGCCTGGAGAACTTCTTGATTGGCTTTCCTGTTTCATCGTGCGTCCCTGTTCCTTCCGCTCTTCCTCCATCGTCCTAGTTGTGGTGCGAAAACTCAGTGAAACGTTATGTACGGCGGGGAAGGGACTAGTGATATGATAGGTAGGGTGGGGAAGAGGTCACATCCAGAGGAGGAACTTTGGAGGGGCGTCGTATTTTGCAAAAAATTTTCCCAGCAGTAGCGTGTCCTGTACGAGATCTTTGTTCAAAGCCTGCACACCATTGTTGAGACTTCGCGAAATTTCACCTTTAGATGTTGCCGAGTTTCCTGCCACAGAACCAATTCGTGCCGGTGTCGTATGGACCGCCACCGTATGCTCAACTGATGGAACCACCACGTTTCTGCGCCAAATGTGGACGAGATGCCACACAGGAGGTGGTGGGTGGCACGGAGCCACCACGCGAGCAGAAGAATCCCTTCAGCCAGACGGAACGTCGAAACCCATTCCAGCATAATCCATTCCAAAAGGGACACGATGAGAAACGTCGTGCCCCGTACGCCATACGTGACATGTGGAAAGACGGCGGCGATGACGGCTACGGTGGAAAAATGCGAAAAGAGGACGAGACGATGGATGGACAGGAGGTAGGAAGGGGTTTTCGGCGTGTGCAGACACCTAGAGACTGCCTAATGAGACTATTGTTGTTATTTGCAGTGCGGCTGGAAACCAGGTCGTGGAAGTGGGCGAAATCCCTTTTCAACACCGGCGAACAATAGCCCGAACCAGTACAAGGGTCGTGAGCCAAGGGATTCAGGTGGGTGGTCACTCTTCTCGAATTTTTCGTTTAACTAAAAATCAACTTGACGGATTGCCTAGATTTTTATGATGTTTTCGAAAGTGATCTTTTACAGAGCAACGTGAGAAATTCCGTAAACCGGCGCCACAGTGCCCACAGTGGGAGGACCGTCATCATCGTGTCAACAACAACTGTCCACTATGGCATCCGTACAAGATGTGCTTGTGAGTTACCTTACCATGAACTGATTTGGGGAGCTGTTCGGCTTGGGGGGGTCCTGCACTTTCACTAGTTCTTTTTGTTAGTTCATCTTAACTAACAGATTACACTATGTTGAGACCTGCAATTTCTTGTACAATAGCGAAACGGAGCAAAAGAGCCAATTTGGTCACCGAAATGTGCAGTCTTCACAAGTGGCCTGTACGAGATTTGCCGAAAGCCATTTGGCGCCCCCACCAAACCGACCAAACCGATCTACGCTGGGACGCTACCAGGGCCGCCTGTTACCCTCCCTGCTCGATGGCTTTTGTCCTTACAGTAATTCTACGTGAACATCACCAGGAAGCCACTGGTCAAGTAGTCCGCGGCGTGGAGTTGGCGAGCGCGTGTGGAGTTGGGTGGTTTTGTATCTTACTGGCAAGGTATCCTTCAAACCGCTTGCTCTCCTTACCAGTGTAACCTTTCTTGACGTGAGCACTTAGCATTGTTCGTGCCACTCTGCATGAATTCTTTATTGAAGTTCCGTTTGCTAAACTGCTGCGAAATTTCATAAAGCGCTGGAAGGACTAGAGCGGAAGAGCCATGTTCTGGCAACGCGACGGAAGCACTGCACACCCCAGTAACCTGGGCGGATTTCGGTCTGCAAAGTGAGACAAAGGACAAAGTGTGCAGCTGCCATGACACTGGTGAATGTCTTCTTGCGTGACTTGCCGCTGTCTGCGGAAAATCCTGCAGAATGCGATTCCGCTGCAAAAGGTTCTGCCCTGGACCCTCCCCCTTCCCCATCGCCATTCTATCTACCGCCTATAATCTTCGTAAATTTCTCTCAACTTCTTTATCACTTTTCCGGAGTATTTTCGAAATTCCCGTATATTTCTCCAGAAAACGACCTCTAATGTTTGAGTGGTGGGGGAGGTTATAGCAATCGTAAAACGGAAATAACGGCGAAAGTCGTCATTCAAAAACATCTTTGTAATAGGTAAATACGACTCCTCTCCACCTCCAGCATCCAAATACGACCCCCTCGTTTGGGATCCCCAACGTGAGATGTGCACTGTTTAGTGTGGAGCAACTAACTGTCGTACCAGCTGCTTCATACTTCTCATTTGTATGAAGGCCACAGGAAGCAACATCTCCTTCGCTGCTTTGAAACGTTGCATACCGTTTGCAATTATCGCTTCAACTCGCATAGAAGATATGTTTAATTAGAAGGGAACTACTGAGGAAACGTGTACAGTGTTGAATATTGGCGGGGTAAATTATATAGATAAATGATTCAGAGTGTCTATCCAAATTGTCGTTCGCGGCGCTTGGATTGGTGGCTATGCTCATCCGCTTCTGTAGCGAGGACGAGAATGTGAAATGCTGCCGAGAGAACAAAGGGAAAATCCCCCCACCACAGCTCAATCAGTTTGGATCGCATCCCAATGCGCGTGCGAATTTCATTCAATTCACAGATTATTTTTCGTGATTTCTTGGAGATACCACTAGTTTTTCATTTTGGCTGCGTTCTTCGGGGTATCTCCTTCATCTTACCCGTAAGATTTAATCCTACCCAGCTCCAGTTTAGTGGGCTTCTCCATTCTGCGTTTTTTTACGTTCCACAATGCGTATTGCGGTTCGTGGTTTCCCCACAAACCCCCTCCCCCGATTTGTTCTGATAGGAATTCTTCAATTGGTGACTGTCGGGTTAGGTGGGAGGGAGGGAGTTCTGCCCTTGCGCTACAACTATTTTGCTAGTTTTTTGTGGGACAACAGACCGAAGTTGAAGAACAGTTAGTGATTCATAGTTTTTTTCGCAGCGGATGCTAGGTTGTGTGGGTATGTGACAAGAGAATCGTAATCCGCTGCGCTGATGAGCGTCGCGTGCCGACCGGTCGCGCCCTTAATGAGAATTAGAGGCCGAAGTGTGCGACAAACAAGGCATCTGTAGAACCGGAGGTAACCACAATGCCTTTTTGTCCACAAGAAAATCTGGTGCTCTAGTTCCCATGGCCGCGCGCAGCGACAAACTACGATTCTCTTGCCCGTCTCCCAGGTTGTGCGGGGAGAGGGCGGGGGAGGGGGAGGCTGGGTTTAACGCGGCGCCAGCTCGATTTCCACCAGTTGTTGTCGCTGGCCTTCTTTGACAATTTATGGAGCCGCGCCAAACCGAACCCCCTCCCCCCTTGACACGCCCCAGCATCCATAGCAAACAAGACTATACATATATCATGTTGTTCGAATTTATATGGTTTTCCAGAACTTTTTACATGTAAATGATTCTTTCAGAACCTATGTCGACTGATTGTGGATGGGCCGGTATCTGGGCCGAGCACTAAACCAAATATTCAAAACACCAAAAAACACATTTGCTTATTCCATCACGCATGGGTCTTGTAATTTATCATAGAGTAGTTCTATGCTGCCGGCCACACACAACTGTTCGCCTTCGCCAAATGTGTATATTTTTTATTTTAAAGATTCTATTAAAATAATAAGTTTTTAACATTAATTATTCATTTGTGTTCATGTGGGTGTGAGATGTGTGGGATTTCGCCCGCTGTCTGGCCCCTCCCGCTTCTGGGAGGCCGAATGCGGTGGGCGGAATTACTTCACGCCCGCCCCGTTGCTGCGTCAGCAAAACTGTGATAGGTGTACAGTTCCACGTTAGGAGAAAATTATTGTTTATCGATCGATTTAAAGGAAACGCAATCGGATCGATACCTATCCGTTCTATATAGTCTTAGGTTCTTTCGAAATGTATTCATTTTACGAGTAAGGATTTTGAATCGATTCGACTGCGTTCATCTATAAGTTTATTGTGTGTTTTAAACGTCGATCTATTGATTTATTGATTAAGTAATGCCTTTTCTGAGCGCCTCACCGAAAGTGCCTTCCGTGTGTACACTTGTGTTTTCGATTGCTTGATAAATAAAGTTTATAAATTAATGTTGAAAACAGTTTCGAATCAATCCAGGCATGCTTCCTGAACCAGAAACTTCTTGTTGCTGAGGAAAATTTTTGGAAAATACACCTCCCCCACCACAGATTTTCTCCTATGGCATACTACTTCTCTAACCACTAAAAACGACCCATGCGCTGGGACAACGTAAGACGACAGCCCTGACCACAGCACTAGAGGATTTATGGAAGCAACCAAAAAAGTGGAAATATTTCAGGCGATTGACGCGGAATATAGTGAATCGCTCCTTTGAAGGCACGCTTCCCGTTAATCTGATGTGCAAACGCCTTTTTCGCACATGGTAGTCCATGGTTACGCCCACTGGCCATCGCTACGCCCAACTTTCTTTTCTGAAGGCTTCCTGGTGGTGGGGTTCTTCCACTACTAGTCCAGTACTAGCACTCTCCTTCACAAATGGCGAGACGAAGGTGATACTGAGAAAGAGCTAGCACCAACGAATGAGAACTCGTCCGAGCACGCCCCTCCCCTCTTCACGGCTAAGTTCTCAGCTTTTTGAAAGGGCCAGGAGATGTAGGAGAACGTGTCCTGCGAAAAAAAAGAAACCATGGGGTGACCACCGAAACGCGTAAATACCAAAAGCGTCTTATAGTCTTGTTAGCTGCGGATACTGGGGCGTGCCAGAAGTCTGGGTTTGGCACGGGGCCAACCCGATTTCCATCAAATGCGCGCTGATTGCTTGCCGGCTTCCACATTCGGTGGAGAGCGGGCTAGGGTCATGTTTTCGATGCTGGGACGAGCGGAGTGGAAGGGGTGCCCCCCCCCCTCCCCCAGCAACCACTTCCTCTTATAGCTCGTCACAGCATCCAAAGCGACAAGATTTCTGCCTTTGCCGATAGTTGGTGAGCGAGAGCTGCACGACAGCGAGAGCATGAGAGCGAGAGGCCAAAAAGAGGTACAATTGTGATTTTACAAACGGCAGGGCGTGAAGGGGTTGGATTGGAGCGCTCCTGAAACGCCTTTCTGTCAATGATGGCATCCTCAGTCAGCAACTATTGGCAGAAGGAGCGGTTTTGGTTGCGGTCCAAAGTTCGCTCCTTCATTGGCCCTATCGCTTGCAGGGATCACGACTTCACTTCTCGCGTTCATTTATTATGCAGACACCTGGATAAGGTAGCCCTGTACGCAAGCACAGAGGCCATCCACCACCTCCGCAGCTCAAAAATACATGATAACGACAACATGCGACGACGACAGGGTACAGCATCGTTGTGTGGAACATGCAGTGGGTCGTACTTTTCCGCTGGGGAGGGGGGTCGTATGTGGCTTTGAGAGGAATTTGCTGCGTTGGGAAAAAATTTTCCCGGTTGTTGACTTTTCGCGGTTTTTCCCGTTTCACATGTGCTGTACACTACATTCACCCCTAGGGCACGCCATCATTGTGATGATCACAACGGGGGGTCGTATTTGACCGCGAGGGAGGGGGGTCGTATTTGGTCGTTGTTGGGAGAGGGACTGCCAAAGATCTATACAACTACTATTTCCGATAGTTGT